TGGATGTCCCTTGGATTGGCCACCCAGGGCCATTCCAAGGTACTGTTTCAGGGTACTGTCTGCATGCTTCACCCCCTGTTGGGTGTCACCAGCAACCTTGCTGAGTGTGCATTCAGTCCCGTCCTCCAGGTTCTCAGTAAAGACACTAACCAGTATCAGCTCCAATTTTGACCTCTGAAGGACACCAGTGGTGAATGTCTGTCAACTGGACTTTGTACTGCTGGTCAAAATCCATAGAGCCTGGTGGTCCAGCTAGCAGTCCATCCACCTGATAGCCCACTTCTTCAGGTCACGTCTGTTCTGACAAAGTACTCTGTAAGACTGTCACAGTCCCTGTTAAAGTCAAGGTAAACAACATTCACGGCTCTTCCCTTGCTCACCAAACCAGTCTTATCCTTAAAGCAAGCTGCCAGGTTGGTCAAGTATGATATGCCCTTGGTGAATCTGTACTGTCTGTTCCCAGTAGCCCTTTTGGCTTTTTTTTTTTGTGTGTGTGTGTGGATGTAGGTTCCAGGAGAATTTGTTCCATAATCTTCACAGGGACTGAAGTGAGACTGACTAGCAGATCGTTCTCCAGATCTTCCTTTTCCTTCTTGATGATACCGTTTTTCCTAATTCTGAGGTAACTATCTGGATCACCATGACCTTTCAGAGATGATAAAGAATGACCCTGCAGTAAGATCAGTCTGCTCCTTCAGCACCCTCAGATGCCTCCCATCTGGTGCCATGGAGTTGCACATACCCAAGTGGCTTAAGAGATCCCTGACTCAGTCTGTCTGTACTGCATGTGAAGTTTCATTTCCATAGTCTCTGCCACTAGACTCTGGTCTGGGGCACCCAATAACAAAGGAGGCAAAAAAGGCACTGAATATCTTAGCCTTTTCCATACCCATTGTCATCAGGGCTGCTGCCCCATTGAGTAGTGGATCTGCGTTATTCTCAGCCTTCCTTTGGCCAGTATCCTTACAGGTGCCTTTCTTGTTGCTGCTTTTGTTTCTTCCGAACTTGAACTCCAGGGTTCCCTGAGTACCTCCCCACATGCTCAGGAGATGTTTCTGTATTCCTCCAAAGTAGCTCTGCTTCCGCCTTCTGTGTATTTCACAGAAGTAGTGCAAGAGCCTCTCCCTGATGCTGCTTGCCTCACTTCGTCACACAGATCCTGGCCAGCAGCCCTCATTCCTCAAAGCGGGTCCTATGGTCTTAGAAGCCTGCCTTTGACACCAACC